TTTTTTTTTTTTTTTTTTTTTTTTTTTTTTTTTTTTTTTTTTTCCTTTGTTTTTCTCCTTTTTTCTTTCTTTAATTTTATTTTCTTTAAAATATTTTTGGAAGCAACGGTATTTAAAATATTATTCAACATTTTGTGGAGAATATTTATGTATCGGAAAATAAATAAAAACAAGTTTATAGCCTTTATATGTTATAATTAAGTTGTTATTTATAAAATTACGCTGATAGTTTATTTATACATTTTTAATTTTTTAATTTTTTTTTTTTTTTTTTTTTTTTTATAGTAGCGTGCGCTAAATTTACCTATCGCTACTTCTTATATATATTAATTTATTCTTCTATGTTGCTTAAATTTTTCTCTTTACTTAAAAAAAAATATACAAGATTATTATTTAACAAGTTTTTAATTTTTTTTTTTTTTTATTTTAGTGTATCTTTTTATTTCTTTTAATTTTTTATGTATCACCAATTAAAAACTTCTTTAAGGCTGTAAATAAAATAGAAGGGATATAAATTTTTGAAAATTTTTATATTTTTCATATATCTATTTCTTTTTTAATTTTATTTAACATCTATTTTTTGTTCTTTTGATTACAGAACAAAAATTTTACATAAAAAAGCACTTAGTTATGAGCTTTTAAATTGCTTTTATTACAGCTTACTTAACTAAAAAAAAAAACTCTTAAAAATATTTATATATGTATACATATATATGCATTTTTTTTTTTTTTTCATTTTTTTTTACTTCTATAAACCCTTATATATCTTAGATGTTTTAATTTTGCACACTTTTTTTTTATGATATTCTCTTAGTTTTTTTGAAAAATTCTACAGAATACATGTGATGCTTACGTGTATTTTTTTATGGTGAATAAAATAAATTTTTTAAATTTTTCCCTTTTTGTTTAGTCTATATTAAAACAATGAATTTTTTACAATACATCCTTAAATTTTTATGTTAAATATTTATATTTTTAAATTTAATGAATAAAAAAAAAATCGTATTTTCCATATGCATATAATTCTACCGAGAATGAAAAATATTTTAGACCATATATTATGATATTTATTCCATTTATTTATCTATAATTATTCATTAAGTTTTTATTAATTTTTGTTCTTATTTAGTTTGTTTTTTTTTTTTTTTTAATGATAATATAATTAATATTTTTTCATATTTACTATTTAGTTTCTATATTTTCGTTCTTCATTCAACAATATATAAATATAATATATATATTTATATACATGTATGTTTTTACTTTATCATGGAATAAAAATACTTTTAATACATGTGTATATAACTGTAATACAATTATTAAATTAAATTTTAAGTCAAATTTTTTTTCATTTTAATTTTTTATTTTATACAAAAAACTCATCTTTTGAAAATAAATTATTCACATATATATATTATCTATTTTCTTTTTTTATATATATCACATTTTTTATTTTATTACATACATGCGTGTTAGTATAGAAAGACAAGCAGGAAAGAGAATATATAAGAAAAGATATAAATTAAGCAACAGATAAACATTTTGATATATGTATCTAAGTGAATATGCAATATAGATATTTTTTTTTTTTTATATTTTCTTTTTCTATAATTTATAACAATTAACAATAAATATTTTACAAGAATAATACGTAATTGTTTTATTTTTATATTCATACTAAACAAATTTTAATAAACTAACAGAAAAGATAATATACAGGAATTCAAAAGAAAGTGGCTCAAAAAAAATAAGAATACCCTTATAGATGTGGCTACTGGTGCGGAATGTGTTTTTTAGAAAATAAATGAAAAAATTATATTTTAAAGAAAAAAAATAAAAAAAAAAATTAATTATATAATTAAATTGATTAAAATTATATACAACTACCTATAAATTCTAGTAAAAAAAATTATATCCCACCCTTTTTCCTTCTTTATTGAATAAAATGAATGGCAAGTTTTTTGAAACGCATGATAATAGCTCGTATGAGCATATGCATAATGAATATTTAAATTATCCTAATTTTAAAAAATATATTGATGAAAATAATAATAATAACAATTTTGAGGAATCTAGAAAGTATATACATAGAGAAATAACAAAAACTCTAAATGCAAACTCTATAAAAATACATAGAGTTTCAAATGAAGGGCATGCACAATGTAACAAATCCTCAAAAAATATGGAACAGAATAAAAAAAAAATTATGTACAATAATGTTGATGATGTTGAAATAAAACGAAATAAAAATATTAATAATTATACTAACATAAAATGTAATAACAATATAATATCATCTACTCATAAATCTGGAGATATGAAAGAATTAGTCGAAAATACCGCAAATAATACAAACAAAAGAAAGAGTGAGATAAACAATGAACGTATAAATAAGGTAAGCGAGACGTGTGAAAAAAAAAACCTGTTGAAACACGAACTATTTTCAGATGCTAATAAGAATATCTTTGTTGACAAAAGCAGTAAGAAAAGTAAAAGCATTGAACATTTTATTTTTATAAATGAAGAAAAGTTAAATAATACTAGAAATATCGGTCAACAATCTGAATTACAAAAAAATAATAGTATTGAAATTTCTGAAGAATTTAATCCAAATATTTTTAGTTTTAATGATTTGAATAATGCAAATAGGAAGACAAATTATTTCAATTCTATTAAAATAGAAGATAAAAAAAAAAAAAAGGAAATGGATAATAAAAATTTTTTCATTAATCAATCCCTTGAAAATGAGCATAAAGAAAATTATAGTTCTTGTGATAACATTAAAAATAAAAATATTTCTTATGTAATTAATAACAATAAAAATATGTATAATTATGATAGTAATATTAACATTAAAAATATTCAGAAAAAAATTTTTTGTGACAGAAATGAAAATTCAGGAAGCAATAGAATAACAAATGATCCTAGTAAATATAAAAAGTATAATAACTTAAAAGATAATTTTTTTTTGAATAATAGTCAAAGAGATTTTTCTTCAAATTTCAATATTTTAAAAAATAAATCAGAAGTATTCTTGAGAACTGACATAGATGAAAAAATTTATGCAAATAATATAATGTATGATGATTATTTTACCATTGAAAATCTAGAAAAATGTGATGAGAAAAAAGAGTATTTTAAAAGAGAAGAATATAATAATATGAAAAGTGAAAAAAATATAGGATTTAATTACCATAAAAATTTTGATAATAGTAAAATATTATCGAATAATAAAAATATTTTTAACTATAAATATAATTTTGATAAGAGAAAATATGTTGGTTTTATTGAAAAAAATAACATAAATATAAATAATTTTAACAAGGAATATTTAAATGATAATAATTTCAACGAATTATCATTCCAGAAAACGAGTAATGAACCTAGTAATAATAGAAAAGAATATTTTCAAGATGCTTTAGACAAAAATGAAAATAGCATTTTCAATGAAAAATTAAAAGAAAATTTTTCCGAGAATAACTCAAGATTATTAAATAATATTCAGTTTGTTCCTTGTATATATAATAACAATAATGCGAACATTCCAATAGAACAAAATGAAAGTACCACCTTAATGAATTGCTTTTTACAGGAAAATAATTTATATAATAAAAATAAGAATGACTTAAATTTATGTGACAACTTTACATTGAATAGCAATATTTTAGATTTAAATGATATATTGAATAGTAATGGATATTTTGATGATTCTTCTAAATTTGAACGCTTAGAACTGGGAACTAATGATATAGATTTAGAACCTAAAGAAAATAATAATAATAACTTAAATTATATAGAAAAAAAGGAAGAATATGTAATAAAATTGTTTTTTGGAAATTTAGCACCTATAACTACAGAAAAAGATATGCATAATTTATTTAGTAATTTTGGGAAATGTGATTCTTTAATAATTTTAAAAGATAGAAGAAGTAAATCAAGAGGTTCTGGTTTTGTTACTTTTTATAATATGCAGGAGGCTGTAAATGCTATTAAATGTTTAAATAATAAAATTATATTATCAGGAGCTCATAAACCATTAGAAGTCAGATTTCCTGAAAATAAAGAAGAAAAAAAATTAAGAACTAAATTATTAAATGCAGCCAAATGGAAAGGAAAAAAAATTGCTCCTAGTGGATGTTTGCCAGTTAGTACAGAAGACATACTAAATCACACTCCATTAGATATGAATATGCCAAGTAATTTTTCTTTTTTAAATCAAAATGACTCTTGTTTTTTTTCCGAGAATGATAATGCTTCATATGATAATAAAGATATAAATAATTATGAAACATCAAATATAAATCATTTTAATTACTCAGAAGAATTTTCTGAGCTCTATAAAACAACTAGCGAAACGACAGTAGATACATTAAACACAGATTACTTTAACAAAATGGAAGAAAACAAAATGAATAGATATAATTCTAATAAATTTATGCAAGAAAATTTATCTGAAGATATGAATATACATTTAATGCATAAAAAATATGATAATTTTTTACCAAATTTTTTAATTGATGGTATAGCTGGAAAAGGAAATTCATTTGAAACAATAGGCACAGTTAGGCATAATAATTTAGATCAGGAAAATAAGACTCACTTAAGTAATTTTACTACTATTGAAATAAATGGAACAAATAGTATGTCTGAAATGAAATCTGAACCAATAAGTAGTATTAATGATAAGAACAAAAATACAAATTATAATTCTGTGCATAATTATAAGGATGATCAAAATTCTTACTTTTTTAATTTTTGTAATATCTCAGATAAAGAGAAAACAGAAAACTTGAACGATTTTTGCCCATATTTAGACAAAAAAAATAATTTTCCTAATAGAGATGAAGAATATGAACACGGATTTTATAATCCATGTAAAAAAAAAAATATCGTAAAAAATGTTTTAAATGATCTAGATAATGATATAAATGATATTGTTATAAAATATGATAATATGAATAATAGTAATAATAATAATGTAAATAATAATAATGACAATTATAATTCATGTGATAATTCTGAGGGATATAATAATTTTAATATACATTATTTAGGTTTCAATTTATCCCATTTAATAAAAACAAATGAGGATGGTTTATTAAAAAATCAAAATTTAAGTAATGTAAACTCTAGTAATGATGAATTATTTAATAAAGAAAAAAAAATTGATGATTATGAAAATGACGACCAAACAAATGAATTATTTAAATTAAAAATTACTAATCCTCATTCTTCCATAGATCTTATAGAAGACCATAATATAAATTTTGAGACAAATGATAATTTAAGCGATGAAATGTTAAAAAATTTAATTAACCTTTATACAAAAAATAAATCTTCTATTTTTACATCTCATATGTTTAGTTATTTAAATAATGTTTTATGTGAAATAAATAATGCATTAGAAATATTTAGCAAATTTAATGTTAAAACTTCCTTAAAAAATATGAATAAAAATAAGAAATTAAATAACGAAAAAGAATTTACATGAAAAATGATGATTTATTGATTTTACCTTAATAAAATTTTTTTTTTAAAATTATAACATATATACCATAAAAAAAAAAAAAAAAAAGTAAAGAAAATTTAATGTTCTATTATTAGAATTTTTTGTAATTTTCTTTTCTTTTATTTTCATGATGAATTGTACTTTATTTTTAGTAACTTTAACTTGCATATAAATATATATATATATATATATTTAAAAAAAAATATATATATATATATAAGAAAAAATGAAGTATTCTATAAAAAATAAAAAATTATATATTATAACACTATAAAAGAAGTGAAAAAAAAAAAAAAAAAATGATGAAATAATTTATAAAAATCAAGGATATTAAAATATATACATGATTTATTCTATCTATTTTCCAGTTTTATACTTAAGGAAAAAAAAATTTTTTTTTTTTTTTTTTATTATACTTTATATATATACATATATGACATTATATTAACTAATGTAATACTATATAAATAATATTAATTATTCAGACTTATAAAAAAAAAAAAAAATAAAATAAAATAAATAATAAAATAAACATAAAAATAAACAAATAAATAAATAAAAATTATATATGTTCAACTATTGCCTCTTTTTTTTTTAAATTTTAGATACATTAATAAATTTATTAATAATACGGAAATTCTACGTGGAAACAACAAAAAACAATATATTTCTGTAAAATAAAGAGAATATTAGACAATGTTAAAATAAAAATTATTCATGTATGAATTTTCTTTTAATATAATAAGAAAAATAATAATGTTTTACATAAAATTTAACTAAAAAAAATGTTGTTTAATAAAAGTTATATTTAAGCGCACAAATATATACAATTTAAATGAATACATATATTTTGATTTACATATACTATATAAAGTTTTCATATAAAATCTTATCAAGTATTCTATCTTTACGTAAAAAGAAAGAAAAAAAAATACGTTTCTAATATGATTTATTTTTAGATAAATATCATTATTCTTTTTTATAAGGTAAAGATGTTAGTAATATGTTATAAAAATACCCTTTTTAAGTATAGAAATTTAATTTTTCATTATTTTTTTTATAAAATGAATTATTACGATAAATATAAAAAAGTGTTATTTAGGAATTCCTAAAATAGTAACTAAATATTTTAATACTTTTACAAATGTAGAAAAATATATATTATGTAGATCTTCATTTTTTATTTAAACTTTTCTCTGCTATACATTGTATATATATATATTTTTGTGTTACTTTTTACATTTATCTATATAAATATATATTAAGTTATTAATTATTTTTTTATTTTAGTTTTTGTAATTTTTTTTTTTATCCAATTTTTTCATAATAATTACTTATTACATGCATTTTCTTACTGAAATGAATTTGTTGTAATATGCTAATATCTTTACATGCAATTTGTATTATTTCCTTATTCTTTTTTAAACAACTAAAAATTTACATTTTAACTACTATATGTATATTTTATTCTTTCTTCATAATTATAAAATTTATTATATTTTCTTTAAATTAAAAAATTGAGAAACTTAAATATTTAAAAAATTAATTGTAAAAAAGAATATAATTGTGAACTAAGAATATTTAAATAAACATAAAAGGAAATAATAAAATATGCTGTAATATATATAAAATAAAACGGTAAAAAAAAAAAGAAAAAGAATAAACAAAAAAGTAAATATTACATAAATAAAAAAAAAAAAAAAGTAAAATAAATAAATCTATAATTTTGAATTTACATTAATTTTTTCTTTTTTATAAATCATTCATATCGCAAAGATAAATTATTGATGAATGAAATATAGTAAAAATGAAAGATAATTTATCAATTTTTTCTGAAGTGCTTAAGTTATCTATATACATATGTAAGTGAATAGAATGGCTAATTATATACTTTATTTGACTATAAGCAATCGCAGCAGCAAGGATAGCAATTAAACTATCACTATTAACATCGTAAATTTCCGAATTTTTTTCTTTTAAATTTATATTTGTCTTAAAAATTATTTCACATATTATATCACTTATGTTATCTAAAATATAAATTTTATCAATGGGATTGGAGAATTTTTCAATCTGTAAAAAATATAAATTTAAAAATTAAAATTTATATATGAAAGTTATATTTCATAGATTGAATGATGTTATTAATAATAAAATAATATTAAACATAAGATTAGTCAAATAGTTCTATTTTATTTTTTTTTTTTTTTTTTTTTTTTATTTTAACCTGCTTCAAATGAAAAGATATAGTTTCTATATGAAATAAGCTAAAATTTTCAAGATTTGATTTTTTTAAAAAGGTAATTATATTATTCCTAAGGGTATTCATTTTTTTTTGAATTTTACATTCTATTTTCTCATAATTTTTAATTAAATGTTTCCATATAACTCTATGTAAATAAGAATATATATATTTAATTAAAGGAATTTTTATATCATTGCTGAAATTTTTTTCATTATCACTGTTTTGCAATTTTAACGTATCATTTACTATATTTAAAATTTTTCTTCCAATAAAATTTTCATATCCTGTTACAATAATATAAGAATATGCAAATTGTAATATTTCAGAATCTATGAATTCTTTGCATTTGCTATTTTTATTGAAAAAAAGAGTTAGATCATTTTTATAATCTAAAATATTTTTATCATTTTCATTGATGGTGGTATAGTTTACAGATAAATTTTTTTCATGTTCTTCTAATGGTAGGTTTATAAATATAACTCTTGAAAATTTATCGTTAGAATTAATTTCTTCTTTTATAATTTCACATTTTCTATTTTCCTCAAAACCATAACTAGTACTTATATATTTTGAGTCAATTTCAATGCACTGATCATGCAAATTTATATATATATTTTTTAAATGGCTTTTACGAAATATATGTTTTTTTATAAATTCAATATCTATATTTGTATTTAATAAGGTTTTTGCTTCAGGTAATAATATTATGTGTGTATTAGATATTAAACTGTCGTATAAATTTTTATATTTGTTGAATAATATGCTTATAACTGGATGATTGTTCATATTCTTTTTTTCAAATTTTAATTTATTTTATAATTTAAACAATTATTTCCTTTTATATAATAAAAATTTTGATTATATAAAGCAATAATGTTTCATTAGTACTGCATTCATTTTATTTATATATATATATCTCTTTTAACGTCATTTATTTTTTATTTAAAAGCATTTTTCTTAATTTTTAAAATATAATTTAAATTTAATCCGAAATTGTTTTCACAAATTTTTTACTTTATTATAACTTTAATTTGTATTTATATGAATATGTAATTTTTCAATTTATTGCTATAAAATTTTAATATTAATATTTTTTTTATAAAAATACACAATTATTCAATGTAAAATGATTAAATTATTTTTTAAATTCACATCTTTTAAAATTTACTTTCCTTTTCATATATGTATAAAATGTTTCTTTATAATTATCTTTATATTATTCAAAATAAAAATGTAAAAAGTAAAAAAAAATAAAAATAATAATAAAATATATATATATATATATATATATATATATATATATATTTTTTTACAAAATAAATTTTCTCATATTGCTAAAAAATATTTCACTTCATATATTTTAAAAAATCATTTATTCCCTTATTTTATTAAAAAATTTTTTTTATAATTCTTATATGAATTTTTACTTCTTTCATTTTCTTTATTTAATTTTTTTTTTCTTTATTAAATATAATATGCTGTTGAACTAAGGATAACATATTCAAAATAAAAATTAAAAACTTGAAAAAAATGTATAATATTGCAAGTAATGGAAAATAAAAACTATTTTAATGCTTATTTATTTTCTTTTTTTGATAGATAATGAAATTATAACAAAAAAACTTTAAAATCTATAAAAATAAAAGTGATAAATTAATTAAATAACTATTTAAAATTAAGAAAAAAAAAAAAAAAAAAAAAAAAAAAAATCAATTATGATAAATTAATTATAAAACTAGAAAAATTTTTATAAAACATAAAAAAACTTTGCAAAAGTGTTGTCAATAATTACGTATGTTATATAATAAAGAAATACAGAATTATTAAAATATAGACAAAATAAAAAAAATTTTATAATATTTTTGTGTGAGTTAAAAAATTTAATTGTACATAATACATATGATGTATACAATAATAAATTATTTCATTTTAATTAAAGTTTTTTTTTTTCCTTTTATTTTTCTCTTTATTTCTCTTTTTTTTCCTTAATATAATGTATTATATGCTTGCAAGTCAAGTGAGTGTATAATTAATCTTTGAATTTCTAAGGATTGAGCAGATGGTAAAATATTGTTTAATATTTCTGTGCTGAATAATTTAAGATAAGGAATAAGTGATGAAATACCAATTGAATTTTGCATATATTCTATATGATATCTCAATGATTGTTCTTTTCTTTTTCTTTCACTATTTAATATATCTTCCAATTTTACATTATCAGACATGTTCAAATTTTTATACAATTGAAATACTTTTGGTATAGAATTCATAAGTATATCATTTAAACAAATCATTATAGCTGTTTTTAGTAAATCGTAATATTTATCGTCAACATTCAAAATAGGAAACATGCTTTCTTCTATATTCTAAAATAAAAAAAAAATAAGTATATATATAATATAATAGTATTATTAAAAATGATAAATGTAAATATATATAAAGTCATTTTATGTATATTATAAATATTTGCATTACCTGTTTGTTTTCATTAGCACATTCATTTTTAATTTTATTATTATTATTAATATTATTATTATTATTAATATTAATATTATTATTATTAATATTATTATTATTATTATTATTATTATTATTATTATTATTATTATTATTGTTATTATTATTATTATTATTATCATTTGAATTATCATAAATATCTTCTGTACAATCATTGTTAATATCCATTTTGTTTTTACATTGATAATTATAAAGGGAACCATGACGAGAATTTTCCGAACTTGAATTATAAAAGTGCGTTAGATTATTAGAATTTATTTGAGAATTTTCAGAGTTGTTATAATTATTCATTTTTGTTTGTCTTCTAATTTGATGAATAGCTTCAATGCTTAACTTGTAAGCTTCTTTTACTCCTCTTCTAATAACTGAATATGCTTTTCTATATCCATTAATTTTTATTCTAAAGCATTTATTTGCTTCGTCGTATATTAGCCCATCAACAAATTTACATTTATTTACTTCTTTATTTATTCTTATATCTCTTTCTTCTATTGTCTCATCTATCAATGTATTATAATTATATGATTTATTTTCTGATTCATAATTGTGTGTTTTATATAAATCTTCTTTATTATTTTCATAACAATCTTCAGATGGACTTATATTATTTGAATACGTAAAATTCAAATTTTCGTCAAAACTTTGTTGATTTATTTTATTTATTAAATTTACATCATTCATACTTTTATTATTAATGCTATCAAAATCAGCACTATTCATATTTTTTGGATACAATTCATTGTAATTTTCTATATAAGTAGTTGTCTTATACAGTTTATCATTTTCTAAAACATTATCTATATTTATTTTATTATCATCATTTGTGTTATTTTTAATAAATGAATTTGGACTATTATTTTTGTTTTTGTAATCTTCAATTCTGCTTAAATCATTTTTCGTATCTTCATTTTTTGTATAATAATCTTGGCTGTTATGCAAGTTATCCACTTCATATATATGAGTTGGTGAATAATTGGTATTTATTCCTGTATTACTTATTGCACTATTACTTGAAGAAATATTATTTTTTTTAAATGGATTATTTTTATTATCTTTTAAATCACCCTCATTTAAAAAATGAATCAGATTTGCATCAATACCATTTTCATATTTTGATTGATTATAATTACTCTTGGATCTTTTCTCATTATTTTTATTAGATTTTAGATTAAAACTCATTTTTCCATCTTCTATATCTCCATAGTTATTATCGTAATTCATAGTATTAGTATTACTAGTCATATCTTTTTTGTTAAAATTATTAGTAGAAGTGTTATTTTTCTTATCTAAAACATAATCATAAATATTAGAGCTCATCTTCCCTTTTATATTAAAACTTCCTCTTTTCTCATTTCCTGTATATAAATCTTTATCTATACTAAAATTACCTGATGACGCGCTTTTCTTTTTAAAATTATCTTCTATATTGATATCATTTAATGAACCTCCTTTTTCTTCTTTTAATATATTATTTTTTAAATTATATTTATAATTTCCTGACATACTACCATTTTTCTGCGGGTAGCATTTTCCTTTATTAGTTTCTAAAATTCTATTTCTAAATTCTGCGGCTAATTTATATGCTTGATAAACTCCTCTTGTTCTGACCCCAAATGACTTCCTAAAACCACATACACTAACTGTCCAATAATTTCTTCTTTTATCAAAAAACATTCCTTGAAGCTTTGGTAAACTTGCTGCTTGATTTAATATTTCACTTTTTGGAAGTCTAATATTTACACTATTATCTAATATATTTTCCATTTTTTCACTACTACTTTTATTAATAGTTCTATTATCCATATTCACACACTTTTCATAATTTCTTAAAACTTTACCACTTTCTGTATTTTTGTTATATGTTAAACTTGCTGATAAATCATTTGATTTCAGTGAAATATTGTTATTTCTATTATCATTTGTTTCATCATTATTTCCTCCTAAAAATTTGATATCACATTTATCTTTCTTCATATCTCTTGGAACACCATTACCAACTTCTACATAAAAATTATTCGAATATCCAATATCATTCATACTGGATTTTCTCTGTTTTTCTAATTCTGAACAACCTATATTATTATAACTATTTTCTTCATTTGTATATTCGTTATTGTTAATCTGATTATCTTCATCAACAATCCTATTATTTTTTGATATATAATTTTCATCATGTTCAAAGAATTTCTTATTTTCTTCTTGAGAATTTTTTGTATCGTTTTCTTTTGAATTAATGTTATTTTCTTCATATTTATTATTACTTCTGTTATTATAAAACTCACTATGATGAACCACATTATTTTCATTTGTATATTTTTCCTCTATTTTTGCTAAAGAATGTTTACTGTTTATTCCTGAACTCATTTTTTTATCATTACAATTAAATATAGATATATTATCACTTGAAAAATCAAAACTACTAAACTTATTTTGTTCCATATTGGTAAAATTATAACTTCTATTTTCTAAAAAATTCAAATTTTGATCATTTTCCTTAGAATTATTTTCATCTAAACCATTATTTTTCTCAAAAGCAGTTTTTTCATTAATATTATTAATACTACTTTCTAAATGATTTTCTACATTTGCTTTTATGTCATCACTGCTTTGATTGTTACTTCCAATACTATTAAAACATCCATAACTACTTTTTTGTTTTTCACTAATTGTGTCACTTTTATTTTGTTCAATAATTTTATCAAATTCAATATTTTTTATAAAATTTCTAATTGATTCTGAAAACTCTTCTGTATTTTCATCAAAATTATTGGATTCTTTAATTTGTGTAAAATATTCACAACATTTATTATAAGATAAAATTACATCATCATTATAATCTGATGGACTAAAGAAACTTATTCTTAAATTTTTATTTTTATCTTTAAAAAATACTATCCATTTCTTCATTTTTTCTTCCCATATTACCCCTTTTACCCAAGGTTTTATGCTATAAGCAACTTTTGTCTGTTCACATATATTATTTAAAAGACTTTTACTAAACTGAAAATAATCTAATTCTTTATAAATATCGTCTAATTCTAAATTGTTTTTTTCTTTTATAAAATTAGAAACATCATATATATTTTCATTATATTCTCTTTTTTTTTTATTTAAATACTCAACACATTCAATAAATGATTTATATATTCCCCCTTCAAATGAAAAAATCTTCTTTTCATTATCTTTATATTCTACTATAAAATGAAGATATTCCAAATCATAAGATATTTCTTCTATACTTGGAAATTTTTTTAATTCTTTCGTTAAATAATATATAAAAGACTTTTTACGAATTTTACAGCAATAATTATATCCTATTTCTATTCCTTCCTTTTTTAATATATAAATATGTTTCGTAATTTCGTTACCATTATTATCCCATAACTTACATACCCACATATTTTTTAAATGATTCCATTGTATCCCTTTTTTCCATGGGCATAATTTAAAAGCTACATCATTTAGCTCACTACTTAATTTACTATTATTTTCATTAAATTCATTATTACTTAGTTTATCGAAATTTTCATTAATTTCGTTACTATTTGATTTATTATTACTTTCCTCTACTTCATTGCTCTTTTCGTTAGTTTCATTATTATCATTTAATTTATTAATATTTTCGCTATTTTCTTTAAAATTATCTATATTATCAACATTTTCTTTTTTTTCATTAATTCTATCATTATTACTATTTAATTCATTAATATATTCTTCATTTTTTTTTAGTTCTTCTGAATTATTCAAAATATCATCTTCTTCATTTTTTACTAAAATATATTCATCATAATTTACAGAATCTTCATTATTTATTTTTACATCTTTTTGTATATTATTATAATAACATTCCTTTTTAATGACATTATTCAAAGAGTAATTTGTACAAATTTTATCAAAATTGATTAAGTTTAACTTATCATTCATTGTCATATTTTTTAGTATGTTAATACCTTTTATAATTTTTTCATTATTATCAGCACTATTATTGTTTAATATATTTCTTATCATTTTCTTAAATTTTAATATATATTCTAAATTTAAATTTTCATTATTTTTAATATTTTTTATATCCTCATTTTTATTATCATTAAATGGAAAATCTTTATTTTCCTTTTCTTTTTTAATGTTTTCATAGCATTTAAATTCTTCTTTGTTATTATTAGATTCTAACATATTTATTTTTTTGTTAAGGTTTTCTTTCTCATCTATGTTTACAAAATTACTTTTTATTTTATTATTAAAACTTGGAAATCCTTCATAATTTAATGAATCATAATATTCTTCACTCATTGCAGATGTATTATTATTTGAAATATTATTACTGTTATTATTCTCATCATATTTATTATAGAAAATATAGTTATATTTCTTGTCTTTTTGTTCATTTTCCTCATTATTAGGATTAAAAAAACTATCTAACGATTTATTAAAGTTATTATTTTTTATTACATGATTTAAAAGATGATGAGCATTTTTATCCTCATCATTCATAAAATTACTATTTAAAAGTTGTTGAACACTTAAACTTTCGTCATTGCATTTTTTGAAACTATTGTAATTATTTGTATTTTTGACCAATTCATTTTTTACATTTTCATTTACAAAATTTCTATTTTCCAATGAGTTAATACCTTCTCTTTCTAATTTATCCAAACTTCCATCATTTAACATTGGATATGATTCATTAAGTTGTTTCTTAAAATGGGAGTATATATCTCCTTTAATATTTTTGTTATCTATTAAAGCGTCATCATCTTCATTATTATTCGTAGAATTTGTATTTAATCGTTTTATTCCATTCAGTAGTTTTATATCATTACTTATATAAGAAGAATCAGATTTAAAAATATTGTTCGATTCATTTAAAAATGACTTGTTTACTTGATTTAAATGATCTATATCAATTAATGATTTATGTTTTTTATCAATATTAAAATCTGTACTATTATTATTTTCATCATTTCTTGAATCTGTTTTATTATTAATTAAAAAATCAGCACTATTACTATTAATTAATTTACTTAACTTATCTTTTTGAATCGAGAAGCCTTTATCTTGTTCATTTAAACTATTTTGAGAATTCATACATTTTATATCACCTTTGAAATTCTTCCCAATTTCATTTTTACTAATAGATTTGCACATTTTTTCTTGATTACATATATTTAATTTATTAATACAATGCACAGCCATCTCATATGCATTATTATAACCATATATATCTATCGGAAATTTATTCACTAAAACTTTATTATCGTAATCATACGTAACTACCCATTCTTTTTGAACTGAATCATAAGATAAATATTTAAATATTAACTTATTTTTTCCTTGAATATCTGATGAAGAAAAAATTATAAATGTGTATTTTATTGATATATTAAAATATTTATGTTAACTATATAAATAATATTTCAAAATGCAATAACAGAAATATAAATAATTTTTAAATATAAAGGAATACAATTCAATTGAATATACAATCATATTTAAAAAAAAAGAAATAAATAAGAAATAAATGAGAAATATATATATAATATATTATGATAAGATATTATTAAAAACAATGTCTATTTTACCTTTAAATCCATTTGGTATTTGTGAATTAATATTAAGAAGATTTAAATGAGATGTTTTTGATTCACCTTGTTGTTTTTTTAAATGACCTAAATTAGCAGTTTCAAAATTTTTTCTATGTTGTATAGCTAATCTTCTAGCTTCTTCAAAACCATATTTATAAACTGGAAAATATCTATTAATACATCTACCGTTTATACATATACCAGATAACCATCTATTTTGTGATTTATCAAATCTTACACCAACTACATGAGGTAACTTTTCAGCCATTTTTGCATAATTATTTTCATTATTATTAGGAATACTTTTTACTCTATTACAATTTGATTTATTTGGTATATTTACATTAGAGTAATTTTTGCTTTTATCTAATTTAACAGAATTTTCTATTTTCACTTCATTTTTTATATTTATAATTTCTTCATTGAATTTGTTATTTCTTAATCTTCTTAAAGTATCTTCATCATTAAATTCATTAAAACTATTTTCATCTAAGCACTCATTTTTTTTATCATGCATTATTTCTGAGTCACCATTTAATTCGTTCATATTTGAGCAGTTACTTAATTCTTTATTGTTATATAATTCAGGATATTTTCTTTGGTGATCTTTTGATTTATTTGATATATCACTTTTTTTACTAAAATTTAATCTACTTTTAGATTCTTCACTATTTAAATCATTACTATAATCACTATTATAATAAAATGAATTCATTGTTTTTTTTCTTCTTGTTCTTAATGATCTTTTATTTAAATCTGTCGTCATCTTTCAACTACTTGTTAAATAATTATTCATAATATAGAACAATTTTAACAACTACATATATATACGCATATGTATATATATGTTTAAAAAAAAAAAAAAAAATAAAAAAAAAAAATTAAAAATTTCAATATAAATATATATATTATTAAAAAAAAAACATAAATAAAAAACTTATAAAAAAAAAATTCTAAAAAATATCTTTAATCTGTATATAATATTAAAATTATTTTCATTATTAATTTTTTTTTTTTTTTTTTTTTATTTCTTTGCCAATAATTTAAATAAAAAAAAATTGAAACATAAAAACGTAAAAACATAAAAAATATGTTGTAAGTATTTCATATGTATAAATGAAAGTACAAATATAGATATAAATGTATTATGCTATACTTATAAATATTAAATTAATAACTCATTTTAATTTCATATATAAAATCTTAATTACTTTAAAACTATTTCTTTTTAAGTATGTATTTGAGTATTTAAAAAGAAAAATAATAAAAGAATTAAAAAAAAAAAAAAAAATAGAAAAACCTGGGCACAGCAAAAAAAAAAAAAAAAAATTGAAATTAAAACTGTATTAAATGCATGTCACATATAAATAAAATATTTTTTTTTCTACATCCTTTTATAAATTAATATAGACCAGAATATATTTTAAATATATTTAATTTAATAAATTGAAATTAAAAAATTCTTAAAAGATTGAATAAAATTTTTAATTAATCTGAAAAATTAGGTATTCATGACAACTTTTAATATATGTAGTATAGATATGATTTTTTTTTAATAGGTGTTGTAATAATGTACACAAAAAAAAAAATATATAAATATGTATAAAATAAAAATATAATTGTATGTAAAATATATAATAGATGAAATGAAAATATAAATAAAAATAATATAAATAATATAAAAATAAAATTAAAATATATTTAAGGACATTTATAATACTTTATATATATTTTTTTTTTTATTACATCTGTTAAATTAATTTTTTCTTCTTTTTTTAATTTTATTATGAAACTATTAAAAAAAAAATTTATTAAAAACTTACATTTTTTTTTTTTTTTTTTTTTTTTTACAAAATGTTAATAAGTTTTAAAAGATATATAATAAAAGCACAAAAAATATGTTTATGTACTTATATTTTTTTAAACATATGTAAAATACGTATTCGTTAATCTGTTTGTGTACTTTAATCTAGTTAGTTTCTTATTTAAACATTAGCATGATAAATGTATTAAAAAGAAATAATAATAAAATTATAGTACTAGGAAATATATAAAATAGCAAAATTCAATTTAAATTTATTAAAATTATAGTATAAGTATAAAACAAATAATTTAAAAAAAAAAAAATTTTGTTCAACAGGCCAAAATAATATACAAGTATCGCTTTACTTTTTTGTTCCTATGCACATGTATTTATTTCTATTTTATTTTTTTTTAATTTTTGCTTGCACAAATAAACAGCATAAACGCGTTTCAAATATAATAAATAATTAGATTGAATATTAAAATTAATAAAACAATATTTATTAATAACTATATATATACATATTTATATATATATATATAGTTATTCATAAATATATATATATATAAATATATATATATATATATATTTTCATATATTTGTATATAAAAATGTTCAATGAAAAAAATGTATTTATATATATTACTATATAACAAAAATGGTTCAATAATTCTCTTTTTCGGTATTTTTTTTTTTTTTTTTATTTAAATATACAAAAG